CTCCTACTCTCACGTACACTACACAACACACTCACACTACTACTAACACGAACACTACACGTACACTACTACACTACACACTACTACACCACACACTACACTACCTACGACACACTACTACTACTCTCGACTTCGTTCTCTACACAGACGTACACTACTACCACTACTACGTACTACTACTACGACTACTACACTACCTACCGTACCTACTTCGTACGTACTACGACTACACACTACGTAACTACTTACGTACTACTATAGTACGTACGTACGACTACGTACGACGTACGTACTATCTACGACGTACGACACGACACACACGACACACACACACACACACACACACACACACACACACACACACACACACACACACACACACACACACACACACACACACACACACACACACACACACACACACACACACACACACAGAGGGAATGATGCATGGCAGCCAGATTCATTTTCCTCTCAGTGCTGAGAACAAACACTCCATCCTGTATCGATCCGGCCATGGCAACGCTCATTAGCACTAGCAGGGCAGAGATGAAAGAATGGAGAGAGCTAGAGAATGGCTAGCCAAAGAAAAAAGAAAAATAGCAGGATAGTGAAAAGGAGTGATGGTGCTAAAGAAAGAAAATGAAGGACACAGAAATGGAAGGAAAAAGGGACAAAGAGCTGGATGGATAGATCGAATGGATGTTTTGATGAATATAGGCGCGAGTGGTTCATGGAGAGTATGATAAAGCGGAGGGAGGTCTGTGTGAAGATAACTGGGCGGGGGAATGGAGTGAGGGGAGGTTTAACAAAGGGCCTCAAAGGACATGAGTTATGAAGTTGAAAGTAGGGCTGCTCGATAATGGCAAAAATCATAATCTCGATTATTTGGGTCAATAATTGATATCACGATTATTAAAAACGATTATCCATTTACTTTGAAAACATCAATTTATAGGAGAAAAAAAATGTGAACAGTATTTTTTTAACAGTTGATTACCCTGAACTTTACGTATAATTCAACTGAAAAACCAATGAAAAAAAAGAAATTATATTAAAAAAAATCAAAAAATAATAATAATAAAAAAATTATCGTTTTATTTCGATTACGTTGTTTCCGTAATCGTTGCA